TTCTGTTACGCTTCAGGCAATAAATACTGGAGAGAAAACACTTCAATGGTTGGACTGTGGGGAAACCTTCAACAAGTGCTCAGATCTTGCTAACCATGGGAGAAGCCACCTGGGCGACAGATCCTCTCGGTACCTGGAGGGCAGGAATTGTTTGATTTGGAAGTCAGCGCTGATTACACATCAGAAAATCCACACAGGGGATAGACCACATAAGTGCTTAGACTGTGGGAAAAGTTTCACCTGGAGATCAGCCCTTGTTAGACATCAGGCAATCCACACCGGAGAGAGACCCCATAAGTGCTTGGACTGTGGAAAAAGTTTCCTATGGAGGTCAGTCCTCGTTAATCATCAGGCAGTCCACACAGGAGAGAGAACCCACAAGTGCTTAGACTGTGGAAAAAGTTTCACATGGAGATCAGTCCTTGTTAGACATCTGGCAATCCACACCAGAGAGAAACCCCATAAGTGCTTAGACTGTGCGAAAAGTTTCATACGGAGGTCAGCCCTTGTTAAACATCAGGCAATCCACACTGGAGAGAGACCCTATAAGTGCTTGGACTGTGCGAAAAGTTTCATACGGAGGTCAGCCCTTGTTAAACATCAGGCAATCCACACTGGAGAGATACCTTATAAGTGCTTGGACTGTGGGAAAAGTTTCATACGGAGGTCAGCCCTTGTTAAACATCTGGCAATCCACACCGGAGAGAGATCCCACAAGTGCTTAGACTGTGGAAAAAGTTTCCTGCAGAGATCACGCCTTCTTATACATCAGAGAATACACACTGGAGAGAGACCCCATAAGTGCTTGGACTGTGGGAAAAGTTTCATACAGAGATCACATCTTCTTATGCATCAGAAAATCCACACCGGAGAGGGACATAAGTGCTTAGACTGTGGGAAAAGTTTCCCATGGAGGTCAGCCCTCGTTAATCATCAGAGAATCCACACAGGAGAGAGACCCCATAAGTGCTTGCATTGTGGGAAAAGTTTCATACTGAGGTCCGACCTTGTTAGACATCAGGCAATCCACACGGGAGAGAGACCCCACAATTGCTTAGACTGTGGGAAAAGTTTCAGATGGAGGTCAGCGTTTGTTAAACATCAAGCAGTCCATAAAAGAGGGAGACCATAAGACTCTGGGAAAGGTTTCAGAAACAGATCGGGCAATCCACACAGGAGAGTGACCCCATAAGTGTTTGGACCATCTGAAAAGTTTCACAGAAAGATCAAATCTTATAACACTCAGAGGATCCACACAGGCGAAAGATCCCATCAGAGCTCAGACTGGAAAAAGTCTCCTACATAGGTCAGACTTTGTTAAAAATCAGCTAATCCACACAGACCTTGCTAAAAATCAGGCAGTCCACACAGGAGGGAGCCCCCAGAAGTGCTTGGACTGTGGCAAAAGTTATACACAGAGATCACACCTCATTAAACATTGGAGAATTCACACACGATCTAAACTTCTGTGTCACCTGGTTCGAAAGAGTTAAGAACCTTGCATGCTCATTGACCAGCTCCAACCTTTTGAAACATGTTAGAAATGTGTGTAAATGTATTTGGGGCCATTCCAAGAAACAGAGCCTAGAACTTTGAAATGTAAACTGGTGTTGTTAAAAAATTGGAAGAAGATAGTAGTGCTCTTGATTAATTGCAGTTAAGTCACATGATTAACTCAAAAAAATTCATTGTGATTAGAAAAATTAATCTCGATGAATCACATTGTTAAACAATGGAATACCAATTGGAATTTGTTAAATGGTTTTTGGATGTTTTTCTACGTTTTCAGATATATTGATTTCCATCACAACAAAGAAGAAAAAGTGTACAGTGCTCATTTGATATTATTTTTTATTACAAATATTTGTACTGTAAAGATGCAAAATAGAAGTAGTATTTTTCAGTTCACCTCATACAGGTACTGTAATGCAATCTCTTTATCAGGAAAGTGTAACTTAGAAACATAGATTATTTTAATGATATAAGTGCACTCAAAAATAAAGCAATTAAAAACAATATAGCCTAGAAGTCAACTCAGTACTACTTCTTTCTCTGCCACTCGCTATGACAAACAAGTTTGTTTACATTTACGAGAGAGAATGCTGCTTTGTTTCTAATTTATGATGTCATCCGAAAGTGTGAGAAGGTGTTTGCATGGCACGTTTGTAGCTGGCAATACAAGGTATTTATGTGCAAGATATGCTAAACATGCATATGTCCCTTCATGCTTTGGCCACCACTCCAGTGGACATGTTCCATACTGACGATGCTCATTTTAAAAAAAAATGCATTAATTCAATTTGTGACTGAACTCCTTGAAGGAGAATTGTATGTCCTCCATTCTGTTTTACAAACCTTCTGCTGGTGGCATCTGACTCAGTTGATGAAAATGAGCATGTGTCAGTCTGGTCTGCTTTGGATGTTATCGATTAGAACCCGTCATTAGCATGGATGCATGTCCTCTGGAATGGTGGTTGAAGCATGAAGGAACCTATGATTTTTTAGAGCATCGGGCACATAAATATCTTGTGACGCTGGTTGCAGTAGTGCAACGAGAATGCCTGTTCTCACTTTCAGGTGACATTGTGAACAAGAAGCGGGCAGCATTATCTCCTGCAAATAGTTATCAAACTTGTTTTTCAGAGTGATTGGCTGAACAAGAAGTAGGACTGAGTGGAGTTGTAGGCTCTAAAGTTTTACATTGTTTTCTTTTTGAATGCAGGTGTTTTTTTGTACAAAATTCTACATTAGTAAGTTCAACTTTCATGATAAAGAGATTGGACTAAAGTAATTACAGTTGATGAATTGAAAAATACAATTTCTTTTGTTTTTTACAGTGCAAGTATTTATAATAAAAATATCAAGTGCTCACTGTACACTTTGTATTGTGTAAAAAGAACAAGGAGTCCTTGTGGCACCTTAGAGACTGACAAATTTATTTGGGCATAAGCTTTCGTGGGCTATAACCCACTTCATCAGATGCATGGATTGTATTCTGTGTTGCAATTGAAATCAGTATGTTTGGAAATATCTAAAACATCCAAAATATTTAAATACATGGTATTCTATTATTGTTTAACAGTGTGATTAATCACGATTCATTTTTTTAATCGCTTGACAGCCCTAGAATATATATCTTTTTAAAGTTTGTGATAAACTGTCTATGAACAGCTTTATGGATAATTACCTTATGTTAATCCATGTAGTTTTATTACCTGTGATGCTTGGGAAATAGGAGTGTATTTCCAAAACCTATTGTTCCCCCAAGGACTGCCTGCTGTCGAGAGGCTGCAAAAATGTCTATATAAACTCTTGGGACCTGATCCTTTCATCTCAGATCTTCTTAAGCTTTATTCCTGGGGAGTTTGAGTCGTAAGACTGAGATCTCCAGTCCTCTCTGGGCCGCCCTGATATTGAACATTGGACTAGAGCATGATGAAATTGTTAGGATATAGATATTCAAGCCTGTATGTAAAGGCCTATATTTTAAGAATGTAGGTATATGTTTATTATTTAGCTGGTTATAGAGGTATAAAAGAATCTGTGTAAGGCCTTCTCTCACTGTGACAGTCTGAGGCCTGTTCTTAGGCTAAGGCCTTTGGCCAAGCAGCAGAGGCAGCCATAATCTGGGAAGCGAACGGTCACATCCTCACATTCCAAACTAGTTGAAATAAGGCAATC